CGTGGATTATGTTCGGTTACAAAGTTGCATATATTTGCTTTTGTTTTCACTCTACTTTCTTTTAACAGGGGTAATCAAGAAGTTTGGCCGGAACCAGGGGGTGATGCTCACACCCAATACTAGAGTGGCTCGTACTGTTTCGGTTAAGGATGTGATTGCAGCTCTGGAAAGAGAGCCCCAAATGTCTAGCTCTACACTTACCTATAGCTTGTACGAAAAAACCTGTCTTGATTCTAAATCTGAGTGATTATAAAGCACCTTTATACTTTTGGGTTTTTAATGTTTCCCATTAGGTATAATGGAATTTAAGATGTCCATGACTTCCTCTTTAGTTTTAATGGGTTTTTTTTATTAAAAAAAACAGCTTGATAATTGAAAATCTCAGGGTTTTAAGTGCAGGGTCATCCTCATCTTACTACATTCTTCAGAAACATGTGGAGCAGTTGGATGGTTCTAATAATATTATTATTATCTGATATTGTTTTTGCAGTAAATAATGTAGATTTCTCCGTTCTTATTGTAGATTTCTCCAAGTCAAATTTGCATTGAGTTAAAACTCCAAAGGGCAATGATTTCGAAGCACAAATTACCAAATTTCTTGTTTATGTTCTATGAAATGCTGGTGTTGCAACACCTGAATTTCAACCCGTCTCCTGCAATCCCAATGGAGCTTGGAATGCGGATTGGTTAGACCTAAGCACTCGAGGCATAAATGTCTCAAAAACACCAAGTAGCCACCACTGGTAAGAGACCCCGCCTACCCTTTCTTCCCTTGCATATAGATAACACATACACATCTTATAAATTACCAAACTCTACAAAAAATAACAATATTATAATTATATTTTACTCATTCAATAGATTTTTATCCCCTTGAAATTATGTTTGTTTTCCTAGCCTATATCTGAAGTTTCTAACATTAATTTATTTTTATCACAAGTGCCCCTAACGTGAATTGTGTTATTCAAATTGCCTTTAATTAAAAACTACATTAAAAACACATCAATAGAAACGTGGCACGTGATACTTTGATCAGATCAATAAATCAAATAGATTAAATCTCTCATGTTTGTGAAAATAAACTCTGTGATTAGTTCAAAAAGTACCTACTGCAGAAGATGATAATTTATTTCACATGGGTTGCCATTTCGGTGGATCATTCATTTAACATGAAACAGGAGCCCTGTGAAGCTTTACAGCTTTCAGTTCCCTATAGCTTATGGTTATAACATGCGACAAGTACTTGACAGTTGACACCATTTTAGCGGCTTTTCTGCTCCATTATTTTCTGCTATCAATACAACGATGTTATTGCACTCTATTTCAGGCTGTGGTTGGCGTTTTAACTCATCTTACACAAGGCGAGTCATAATACTACGATAGAGTATCCGGTTAGTTAGGTCTATAAAAATAAAAGATTGAATTAGCCCACAAATTTTTTAAAATTTAATGATTAACCCATCAACATTGGTGATAGTCCTAAAGTTGATCTGTTCAATTAGGAAAATCAAATCAAAATTATTAACTTGACAACCATACATACATGTAAACCATGTTTTTCCCCTCAAAATTAATTTAATTAATTTAGGTTTACCAATGTATTGGGTTAGGTTTGAGATTTTAGGTTTTTATATAATTTATAATTATTATTTAGGATAAATCATAAATTTCATCACTCAACTTTAACTTTATTCTTGTTTTGATCACTTAATTTTTGACATTACTACTATATATTTTTATGATTCCACAGTTGGTTAAATCATAAATGATGTAGTAATAACATAACTTATATTTTGTTGATGTGAATTACTTTTCGTTGAAGTGAAAGTCATATTTTGTCCACTTCTTTCTTTTTATTTTATCATCTTTTCAACAATCGTATCATCTCCGCTGACCCACCCTTTCTTTCACATGTCATCCCAAACTAACTATTAATCTAACACCCACTCGCATCTTTGCTCCAACAAATTAGTTGAATCAATCATCACATCACATCAACCCCATAACTATCCTTACTTCACATATGTAAAAACGGAAGTGGTGGCTTGTTAACAATCCATTTATTCCCCATCTTGCTTCAAGACTTGTTGGTAGCATATGTGAAAATCTCAATTAAGTCATTTGAATAAAAATACAAACGAGAAAGAAAGAAAAAAAGTTCACCTTGACTTTGGTAGATCTCTTGATATTCATAACTTCCATTTGAAGATGTTAACCGTGAGAGATCTTTCTTAAAGCGGGGAACAATATATTTCTATTTGTACTCCATCTAGAAACGTACGATGAAGATTGAAAAATATAAAATATAGAAATGTTCAACATCAATTTCGTACAGTTTGGGGTTATTCTCAGTTAAACATGCATCAAATTTGCATTCAAGAAAGCAAAATGAGTTTGGAGAAAAGATTTGAGACTCATTGATTGTCGTTGTCAACGGTCGACATAATGATTGATCAAAATGAGTGATAGTCAGAATATGGGTTGATTCGAGCAAATAGAGAAAAGGAGACCAAAAAAAATATCATATGGGTCCTATCGTTTTGATGTGAACTTGATTTTTTTACAGGGATCCAAATAACATCTTTTAGTGTAAACTGACATGTAATCGTATCATTTGTCATTTAACGGTGGAGTGACCAAACATGAACAATATCAAATTTGAGTGATAAAATTATTATTTTTAAATGTAGTGACTAAAATAAAGTGAAATTAAAATTGAGTGATGAAATTTATAATTTATCATATAATTTATTATAAATATACGATTTCTAAAGAAAATTTATTATTAAATGGTTTGATATGCATACATTGGATATAGATAACAAACTCAATTTAATTCATTATAACCGATTCTTTTAATCAATATTAAAATCAAACTCAATTCAACTTATTATAACTAATTTGAGGTTTGACGCAAAAAATAATATTCAAATTATACCTTAAGTTAATTTTAGGGGTCTATAAATTTTTTCGTTAAAAATAGGTGTCTAAAGAATTTTTATTTAACAATAGGTGTCTAATTTTTACAACATTACACTTTTAGGCGTCTAGGTTGTAATGACCGTTAAATTCTATTGTTATTTGACATATTTTACATTTATATATATTTTTTTTAAAATAAAAAATAATATTGTTTAAAGAAATAATTTTTTAAGAGAAAATCCCCCTCTTGCTTGAGCAAAAAAAAAACCCTCCCTACTTGCATAATTTAGGGTGAGAATAATAGATTTGAGATTAGTATTAGAAATTTGGGCATTAGATTTAGGGATTTAAGTTTAGATTTATGAATTTAATGATGGGATTGAGATGACAACAAGAGGGATGGCCGGTAGTAGAGGTCCGAAGACGAGTGAGTGATTGTTCGACGATGAAAAAGATGGCTGGTGATGGCACCGACAACTAGTGATGGGGTTGAAATGAGAGATTTTAGGATTACATGTTTTTTTGTAATTTTAGAAAAAATAGTTTTTTAATTAATAACATTATTAAGTATTTTTAAATAAAAATTTTAAAAAAATATAAACATTACTCGTGTCACTTAATGGTTTTATGAAGGTTATTACTTCGTAAACACTTAAGGGGGTGTTTGGTTGGGGGAATGTGTGATTTCCATGGGAATGAAATCTACATTCTGGAATCCACATTCTCCCGTTTGGTTAACATGGGAATCTCATTCCCGGTAATGTAAGATTACCAATAGTAGATTTTTTTGGGGTATATTATCGGGAATGTCGTTACCTCCATTTCCTTAGGTATTGTTGGATTACCGGCGTTTTGGTCTAAAATACCCTTAAAAAAATTTCTTCAAAAATATTTTTCTTCTATCATTGAATAATAAAAAGTATACGAAGGTTAAATTACAAATTTATCCTTAAACTATTTTAGATTTACAAAAAAATCTATAATTAAAATTTTATATGAAGTTCAGGGGTTAAAATAAAAATTTACCCTTTCATTAAACCTTTTTATTTTTTCAATTTTGTAAAAAAAATTATATAAATTTTATGAATTTAAATGTTTTAAAGAAAATGTATAAATATTTTCCAACTTGTTAAAAAAATAAATATATAATAAGGACAATTTGGTCAAATATACATTTCAATAATCTTTTATTCCTTTAACCAAACACGGTAGTTTTACATCCATGCTAAACTAACCAAACACAAAATACAACATTCCCAGTAATTTTATTTCCTGATAATCTTATATTCCCACTGGTAATCTTACATTCCGTAAACCAAACACACCCTAAAAGTATAATGTTGAAAATTTTAAACACCTGTTTATAATAAAAGTTTTTTAGACATCGAAAGTTAACTTAAAATATAGTCTGAACAATTATTTTTGTATTAAATCAAAATATAAACACGCTCAAGCAATAATAAATCTTTTATAACATAATAGATGTAGAAATACGGCAATCATTCGCATACATAAAAAAGTTTTAAAATAATTGAATAATTGGAAAGTAGACACAAACAACAAGCAGATATGGAGTGACATAAATAGATGGATCATTTGGCGTAATTTTCACAGGGAATCCCCAGCAGATCACATGAATCTTTAGGTGGGGAAGGCTAAGGCCCGACCATTTCCTCTTCATTGCCACAGTATTCATGGAAAGTCATATATACCTTAACCTTTCTCTTTTACCTTCCAGACTCTTCTCCACTGTAAGAAATAAAAATAGGGAATTGAAAATTTCATCATCAACCCATAAATACATACAAATCATTACAAGAATATGATACAAACACTCTCTAAAAATTTAATAAGTATATTCATTTATAACATATAATTGTATCTAACATTTATATTCGACTTCGAGTTAAGCAGGAAACCAATAGGAGATGTCACCCCCACCAGATAATGAATTATCCTTGTAGACAGCCTGGAATTAGCTGTTGATTGATCCTACTTATTTCTCCTAGGTAATTATAGACAACTTCCCCCACATTTTTACTCATCCCTACCTGTATAAATGAACCCATTTGCATCGCCAAGCTCTCACAACAAATATTACACTCCCTTTGATTTTCTTGAGCTCTTATCTTTTGTTCCTATAAATCAAAGAAGATGAAGCTTGTCCTGGTCACCTTCCTGCTTGTTTCTCTTATTCTCAGCTCCTCTCTCTTTGAGGTGTCAATGGCAGGTTATGCGTGAAAAAGCAAGCCAAAAATCCGCAGTCTTTAGAATGTTTTTAGATTTATCTGTGAAGCTAATGGTTGAGTTTGTGGTTTGATCAATGGCAGGTTACTGCAGCTCCAAGTGCAAGACGAGGTGCTCCAAGGCAGGGGTTAAAGCAAGATGCTTGAAATACTGTGGGATTTGCTGTAAGAAATGCAAATGTGTTCCATCAGGCACATATGGGAACAAGCATGAATGCCCTTGTTACAGGGACTTGAAGAACTCCAAGGGCAAGCCCAAGTGCCCTTAGATTCCCCCCAAAATAGTTTTTAGGGACCCTAAAACATCCAGAGCCATTGAAGAGGATCATTAAAGGTCTCCATCATAAAGCTATATAACAATTAAGGTTTATTTATCTGAAAATATTAGGGCCCGTTCCATGGTCTATGAATATGTTGTCTCGTTTGCTTTTATTTTCCTTGTTAAACATTGTTTATTTCAATTTTAGTTTTATTTTTATGAAAACAATAGTATATAACTCTTATATTTACATCTGAGGACTTTTTTTTAATTGGAGAAAGAATATGGTTAGAACCCTAGATAAAAATTCTTAATACTACTTAAACCACTATTAATCAGGTAGACTAATAATTTGATCACGTTGACATTGTTTTAGATATTAGATGTACTATTGAATATATGAAGAAATGTTAAATAGGTATATGGGTTTGGGTGTGTGAGTGTGACTAGTTTTTTTGTCGTTGTTACATTTAAATTCATATAAATACATTATTTGAATATATGGAATAAAAATATACAAAAATTTTATAATTTTTTATAATCATAGCTATCTAATCTAATGATTGATTAATCCAGATTCAAACTCCTGATGTTGCATAAAAAATCTAATACCTCGTTTTAAAATGGAATTATATTTCAATATCAATCTTTTAAAATAACTTTGTGTTAGTTAAATTTAAACGCAAATGTTGGATAATAGTATAAATTTTACAAGGTTAGATTCAATTTATTTATAAGAGGGTTCTTGAAAATTTAGAAAAAAAATGTACAATTATATTCAGATATTGGAGCATAGATGAATAATTAGAAAGACAAATAAAAACTCTGAATAACATAATGGACAATAGTGAATACTGAAAACAGTGAGGGTGTTGAGTTGGTGAGAGGCCATTCTCAATGAGGAGAGTCCAGTCCAGGACTACAGCGTAGGTCGTATCTGTGGTCACAGTGCATAATGTTTCAAAGCAAACATCATTTGATCAGATATTGGGGTTTATAAATTAATTGGTATCGTCAAAATTTTGGTGAACCAGATATTTTTCAAATAGCAGTGACCACTACAGAAATGTATGGTCACGAATTTTAATACCGATCATTATGATCATACTCGCAATGCACTACTTTTTCTTGAATTTGACATTCATTAAGATGGACCCTGACAGCATCAACATTATTGCATGCTACGTTACTTTTAATATTACAATTGCAGTTTAGCATAGCTAAAAGGGAAAGTACTGGTCAAAAGGGGGTCATCTGTGGGTCACAGTGCATAATGTTCAAAGCATCATTTCAGATATTGGGGTTTATAAATTAATTGGTATCGTCAAAATTTGGTGAACCAGATATTTTCAAATAGCAGTGACCACTACAGAAATGTATGGTCACGAATTTTAATACCGATCATTATGATCATACTCGCAATGCACTACTTTTTCTTGAATTGACATTCATTAAGATGGACCCTGACAGCATCAACATTATTGCATGCTACGTTACTTTTAATATTACAATTGCAGTTTAGCATAGCTAAAAGGGAAAGTACTGGTCAAAAGGGGGTCGGTAGATGAACCTAACGTTCCCGATCCGCCATACTTAAATGCCATCATAAATGACAGAACTTGCCACCTGAAGACTGGCACAATTGGAGAAGATAACATCCTCCGAGTTTTAACACACTACTTTTGATGTTTGGTAATTTGATATCTTCAATTCTTTGTTTCAGGTTGTCTAAAGAAAATGTTGGATTGTCTCCGACCAAGGTCAAAAAAATAGAAAGAGTCGAAAGAAAATGTTGGATTGACATTGATGGTTTTGTCTAACAACTGGCCGGATTCTACGATGTTGGACTACCTCCAGGGAAGAACTAGATATAATGATTCCAAAACCGCAGTGTTGGATTCTTCGGGCTATTTTTTATCTTCTGACAATACGGAGTTCAGATCAGCTGATTTCGGTTTTGGACCTTTGAGAAGATTAACGATTGATTTTGATGGTAACCTTAGATTATACAGTCTTGAACAGCAAGGGGTTTGGTTCGTAACATGGCAAGCTATCTCCAACTCCTGTAGGATTCACGGGGCCTGTGGGCCGAATAATAGTATATGTAGCTATGATCCTGGTTCGGGCCCCAAGTGTGGTTGTCCACCAGGGTTCAAGATGAAAAACCAAAGGGATTGGAGACCGGAGTTCGAACTTTCATGCAACAATCATGATTTCAACTTTGTCCAACTCCGTCATGTTAATTTCTTTGGTTACCATCACGATATCCTCAGGAATTACACCTTCCACGAGTGCGTCAAGGATTGCTTGGATTCATGTTGTAAAGCTTTTCAATATCGATATTTCCCGGAAGATGGTAGGTATCGCTGTTATTCAAAATGGGAATTGCGTAATTGTCATCGTTACAATAGCTACGTTGGAACCCTTTACTTGAAACTTCCGAAATCATTCCCTTACGACAAACCTGTTGAAGACTTCAAGTTAAATTGCTCCAACATGCAGACAAAACTGCTTGAAAGATCTTATGTTAAGAGAACTGGACACGGATCATTGAATGTTTTTATTTGGTGCGCTTCTATAATAGGGTTGCTTGAGATGATCTGCATCTCTCTAGTGTTCTTTTTCTTGTATAAAACAGGGAGAAGTCCAGACGCATTGTCGATGATGGCCACATCTGGGTACATTGTTGCTGCAACTGGCTTCAAAAAATTTACATATGGTGAGTCGAAAAGGGCAACGCGGGGTTTTCGTGAAGAGATCGGGCGAGGAGGAGGTGGGGTGGTGTACAAGGGAGTTTTGCCCGATCAACGAATCGCAGCCATTAAATGACTTAAGGTCGAAACTCATCAAGGAGAGGATGAATTTCTTGCAGAAGTAAGCACAATCGGCAGGCTTAACCACATGAACTTGATTGAGATGTGGGGATACCGTGCGGAGGGGAAGCACAGGCTTCTGGTGTAAGAATACATGGAGAATGGATCGTTAGCAGACAACCTCATGAGCAATTCACTCGATTGGAAGAAAATGTTTGAAATCGCGGTGGGCACCGCCAAAGGGTTGGCTTATTTGCATGAAGAGTGCTTAGAATGGGTGCTGCACTGTGATGTCAAGCCTCACAACATACTGTTGGATTCCGCCTATCATCCTAAAGTATCAGATTTCGGGCTATCCAAATTGCTGGCAAGGGACAGTCCCAGAGGGTCGAGCTTCTCCAAGATCAGAGGAACAAGAGGTTACATGACGCCCGAGTGGGTTTACAATCTTCCCATCACTGCCAAAGTCGACATATACAGCTATGGGATTGTGCTATCGGAAATGATAACAGTGAAGAACCCAGTGTGGGTGTCCCTGTTGTTGGAACCAACGGAGAGAAATGGCGGCAGAGGTTAGAAACTTGGGTCAAAGAGAAGAAAATTGGTGCTTCAGGAACAAGTTGTTGGATTGAAGAGGTATTGGACCCTGCCATGGGCGAGGATTTTGGCAGAAAGGAATTGGAGAAGGTGATAGAAGTGGCTATCAAATGTACAGAAGCCGATAGACATCACAGACCATAATGAGCCAAGTAGTTCAAATGCTTGCGGGGGATCAAATTAATGCTCACTGCCTACCATCTTTTCAATAATCTTTCAACATATATTACATTTATTTTAGCTTCGATTGTGTTAAGGATGGTGGTTGTTTAGTTCTTTTATCTTTATTTTAATCGATCCTTTAGCAATTTGATTTAATTTACAATGAGACATATCAAACCATATAAGAAGAAACTATATCTGCTCTCAAACTTTTAACATCTATCTTTTGTTGTACATGTATAGTACAGCCATATGTTTTCCTTCCTTCTCTTGGCTCTTGTGGCTCACGCCACACCTATAACATGTCAAAATATACTTCAAAAGAGGTTAAACATAATCATCCTGGCCGGACAAAGCAACATGGTAGGTCGAGGAGGCCTTGCCGTTATGGAACGGTGACGTTCCTCCACAATGCCATCCTAACACTTCAATCTTCAAGCTGAGTGCGGACATGGCATGGGTTGAAGCCCGCGAGCCAATCCATGCAGACATCGATGCTAAGAAAACAGACCCGGAATGCCATTCGCCAATGCTGTATTGACCAAGGACCCTAACATAGGGCTGGTGGGATTGGTGTCTTGTGCCATTGGAGGGGCCAGTGGCAGAAAGGGGAATTTTTGTATGAGCAACTGGTGAAGAGGGCTCGACTGGTAGAGGTGGATATAACGCCATGCTTTGGTACCAAGGGGAGATTCATACGATACATAATTAAGATGTTGAATTGTATGGAGGCAGATTGAAAAGGTTTTTCCATGACTTGCGTTCTGATCTGCAAGCTCCTATGCTCCCAATTTTCCAGGTATTAGTATTATGCCATTTGGTTTTCTTTTCTTCATAAATTAAACATAAATTTGCAGGGATTTTGTGCTACTTTCTTAACAGTTTGCAAAACTTAATAAATTTGAAACAACTCGCTGGTTGATCCCGAATCGGGATTGAATATCTTAGCATCGGATCATGAAAAGTCATTTAAAAACTGTTTCGGATGATTAAAAAACCTATAAACAATGTCTTTTCGTTAATTTCCACGTTGGCAAATGTCGGTGGGATTAATGTATTACAAGTTGACAGAATTTCAGATTTTATGAATTTATGTCTCCGGATTGAAATTAATTAAATAATTATGATTTTATTATTTATATAATTATTTTACTTAAATAGTATTTAATCCGTTATAATTCCTCTGTCCATTAGTTTAAACTTTTTATATTAAATTGTCCTAGCATGTTAAGTTTGATAACCTAGGAGAAAACTTAGGTAAAAAATATTACTGAAATTTTTCATGTATCAAATAAGTTTATAATACAAAAGTATTTATACAAATCAGAATAAACTAACTAGTCCACCAAATAACTCAACAACTCAGCTAACCCTCTAAACTCCTATAACCAACCTCACACCAATCAACATTCTCCCTTAAGTTAGAGAGTGAAAGATGTTTTAACCCCTAACTTGAACATAAGATATTCATGTTGTCGAACGCCTAATCCTTTGGTCATAATATCTGTTAACTGCTCGTTAGTACATACATATTCAGTTTTAATCAGTCTTTCTTGGATTTTCTTTCGAACAAAATGACAGTCGATTTTGATATGTTTGATCCTCTTATGGAAGACAGAATTGGCGGCTATTTACATTGGTGTCTTGCTGTCACAAAATAGTTTGATATGTTTGATCC